ACAGTCGATCTCACTATCGATCTCACGACAGGACACCGACGGGAGACCGACGAGCAACCGGCGGGCAACCGACGGGACAATGCGGGCCACCGCTTGACAACACCGGGGGGGCGAAACATTTGTGTTGGCGGACCCCTAGCGACGGCAGAGTGAATTCCTCTCGCCCGCCCACGCAGCTTCGCCTCGCCCGCACGCACGACACGAACACGAAACCGAAACCGATTTCCCTGTGGGGGGCTCTCCGTTCCACTTCGACCTCACCCCCTCACCTCCGATGCTGTTGATGCTGGTGATGCTGATGGTGATGGTGGTGGTGATGGTGATGATGATGCTGATGAGGATGCTGATGATGGTGACGGTGCTGGTGCTGGTGCTGGTGGTGATGCTGATGGTGATGATGGTGTGATTGCTGATGATGATGAGGCTGATGCATCTGATGATGACGATGATGCTGTTGATGGCGATGCTGATGCTGACGCTGCTGCTGATGCTGCTGCTGATGATGATGGTGATGCTGCTGATGACGATGACGACGATTATGACGATGCTGGTGATGATGGGAGATGATAATGGTGATGATGATGATGCTGCTCCTGACGATGATGGTGATGCTGATGATGATGGTCGTGATGATGGTCGATATGATGATGGCGATGATGAGCACGATTGCGATGATGGTGCTGACGATGCTGATGATGCTGATGATGATGGTGATGGTGATGGTAATGGCGCTGATGAGGATGATCATGATGATTATGCCGAGAAGGAGGATGACGATGATGCTGCTGCTGATGTTGATGATGATAATGATGCTGATACCGCCGTCACCGACGACCATGACGCCGACGACGATGCTGGTGATGCTGATGCTGCTGATGTTGATGATTATGATGCTGCTGATGATGACGATGATGCTGATGTTGATGATGCTGATGATGTTAGCATTGATGATGATGATGATGATGATGATGATGATGATGATGATGATGATGATACTGGTGATGCTGATGAAGATGATTATGATGACGATGATGATGCTGATGATGACGATGACGATGCTGCTGCTGATAATCATGATGATGATGTTGATGATGATGATGATGATGCTGATGTTGATGATGATTGTGCTGATGATGATTATGATGATGATGATGATGCTGACGATGATGATGATGCTGATGCTGATGATGATGCTGATGCTGATGATGATGATAATGCTGATGATGATAATGATGCTGATGCTGATGCTGATGCTGATGCTGCTGATGATGATGATGATGATGATGATGATGATGATGATGATGATGATGATGATGATGATGCTGATGCTGATGCTGATGCTGATGCTGATGCTGATGGATGATGCGATGAGGAGGAGGAGGAGGAAGGAGGAGGATGAGGAGGAGGATGGTGCGGAAGATGAGGAGGACGAGGGCAGCGAGTAACATGATCGGGTGAATATGGGGGAACAGGAGGACCAGGGAGAGGAGGATGAGGAGGAGGAGGTACACGTGGAGAGAGATGAGGGACTGAAGGAGCAGGGGGAGGAGGTGGAGAAGGAGGAGAAGGATGGAGAGGTGGAGAGGGCGGAGGAGGAGGAGGATAGATGTGGTGGGTGGCAATTGGTGCCTGGAATGGTAGGTGGTGGCACGAATGCCTTGAGATGGAGGTACGGGTCACCCCCCCCTACGGCCGTCTTCGTTTGGCCGAGGGACCGTAGGGGGGTCCTCGGCCCCCTCCGGTGCCTATTGACGGCAAAATGGAAGGTTGACTGGTGGGAGCGGGAACCCTCGCAACCCCATTGATGGAAGCTGCGAGGGGTGTGAGGCCTAATGACGGTCCTCACCGACGAGGCCTAATGACGGTCCTCGCCGAGGGGAGGGGCGAGAGGGAGGGGGGCCACTCCGGGTGTCGATGCCGCCTGCGATGCCTCTCACTCCTGAGGAGGAGGAGGAGGAGGAGGAGGGGGAGCAGTAGGAGGGGGAGCAGTAGGAGGCGGGATCCCTGCAAATGGGGGCCCACAAACCAGCATACACAGCTTCGACTCCGAGACTGTGTATACGCCACACCCCCCGGAACCTCCAGGACTACTTCTTCACTACATCGACGGGTGGGCCGGACAAGGGTGGGGTGAGAGGGGGGCGGGGTCGCGAAGTCGCATCCCCGCCAAGATAAAGTCCCATGCCTCCCCTGGGGAATGGAACAAGGTGGGAAGTGCCATTTCGGACCAGGACCCCCCGGAGCCAGCCAAAGCGAGGGGGAGGGGACAAAATCTCCAAAGTCGTTTGGGGAAACAGCTCCAATCCGCACACCAGACCAGAAGCCGGAGACCAGGGTCCACGAGGACCCAGGAAAAGGAGGGTCGATCGCCCCCGCCGCCAGGACTTGGATGCCACTCCAGGTCCGCGAAGGCGCCCCAGACGACGAAGCGACCGAGGCGTCGAGCTCGACCCCAGGCGAGTAATCCCCCACGTGCGCCGGCAGCACGGCGCGCGGCGCAGGCGAGGGGCTTGCGGGATCCTCGACTGGGGCAGCCCTAAAAGGAGAGAAAATAAACCTGGCACCGTACCCCGCGATCCAAACATGCTGGTGCGGGGACGGGCAAGACAGAGGCAGAGGAGGAGAGAACGGGCAGGGAGGACAGGAGGAGGAGGAGAAGAGACAAGGCAAGAAAAGCGGGGGGGGAAGGGGGCGGGCAAGGGGCCAGAGCGGGGACGGGGAAGAGAGGGGCGGGGGGACAGAGACTGAAGTCAAACGTAGATTTGTGGCCCCAAGGGATCCTTGAGGTAGGTCTTCTCGATTGGTTGGCGGGGAGTGGGCACGACCGCATGAGTGCCACTACAGCACGGGTCGAACCATCACCCTAAGTGGGCGGGGAGAGGGACACGACCGCATGAGTGCCACTACAGCACGGGTCGAACCGTCACCCTTGGTGCACTGCTGGGGTGGCCCAAGTGCCAAAATGTAAAGGCTGACTGACATTGACAGGCACAATCAGCCGGCAGGGGAATAAATCCCGTTCACGGCCCAAAGGAGGATGGATGTGGTGGGTGGCAATTGGTGCCTGGAATGGTAGGTGGTGGCACGAATGCCTTGAGATGGAGGTACGGGTCACCCCCCCCTACGGCCGTCTTCGTTGGCCGAGGGACCGTAGGGGGGTCCTCGGCCCCCTCCGGTGCCTATTGACGGCAAAATGGAAGGTTGACTGGTGGGAGCGGGAACTCTCGCAACCCCATTGATGCAAGCTGCGAGGGGTGTGAGGCCTAATGACGGTCCTCACCGACGAGGCCTAATGACGGTCCTCGCCGAGGGGAGGGGCGAGAGGGAGGGGGGCCACTCCGGGTGTCGATGCCGCCCGCGATGCCTCTCACTCCTGAGGAGGAGGAGGAGGAGGAGGAGGGGGAGCAGTAGGAGGAGCTGGAGCAGCAGCAACAGCAGCAGCAGCGGGGGATCAGGGTGGGCAGTATGAGGCGGAGAAGGAGACGGCGGAGAAGAATGAGCCGAGGAGCGGCGAATGCAATGAGCGGGAGGGGGAGGCTGAGGATGTGAAGACAGGAAGGAGGACTCGGAGACGGAGCATAATGAAGGAAGGGGAGAGCAGAGCAGGAAGCGCAACACGAGCCGCGATTTTTTAAGAGGAGTTGGGTGAGAAGAGGGCAGGGGCGGAGCCGGAGGCGAAGGCGGTGGTCGAGACGTCGGTGAGCGCGGACGAGGAAGAGGAGGACGTGCGTGTTGTGAGGGAAGTGGCTGCCCTGTCTCCCCAATAAGAGCTGTGCGTAGCCCGCCTAGCTTTTAGCGGAAGAGGTTCGCTCTCGCCCCGCCGACCAAAAAAAGAAAACAAACAAAAAAAGTGTTGTGAGGGAAATGTCGGGGATGCGGCTGGGGATTGGGGCGGTGACCCGGACGGCGGTGAGGATTGGGAAGAGGTCGGGGAGGAGGATTACGTACCAGGAGGAGGGCAAGGACGAGGATCAGGGACCAGCAGCAAGAGTAATGGGGAGATCGGGGAGCGAGAGAGAGAGAGAGAGGGATAGAGAAACAACAAGAGAGAGAGAGAGAGGGAGAGCAACATACATAAATACGTAATTAGAGACAGAGAGAGAGAGAGAGAGAGCAATGGATAGCGCGAGAGAGAGAGAGAAAGCGCGAGAGAGAGAGAGAGAGAGCGCGAGAGAGAGAGGGAGGGAGGGATGAAGAGAGATAGAGAGAGAGAGAGAAAAAAAAAAAAAAAAAAACGAGATAGAGAGATAGAGAGAGAGAGAGAGAGCGAACGAGAGCGAGAGAGAGAGAGGGGGGAACACAACCAACACAGCATACCACATGCAGGAGGGAACCAAACAGGAGGCAGGAGGTGGGAGACGGGAGGGAGGGCGGTGGAGGGGACGAGGAGGGAGGCAGGAGGGGCGGAATGAGGACGAGGAGGGGAAGGAAGAGGAGGAGGAGGGGGAGGAGGAGGAGGAGGAGGAGGAGGCGAGGCATGAGGAGGATGAGGGAGCAGGACGACGAGAGCAACGGAGAGGAGGACGGGCCAGAGGCAGGACCAGTGCCCCTCCCCGCGAGGGCGAGTTCGAGAGCTGCTTCTATGGCGAGCACTCTGGCGAAGGGTTCCGCGCCCACGCCTCTGTCCGGGCCGCGCCGCTCCATACCCGACCACCTGCGACTCCTCGCGTGCCTCTTGTCTTGCTTCTTCGGCTCATCATCCTCCCCCTCACCTCACTGGTGAAGCACTGGGAGAAAGGGAGAGTCAGACAGCACACCCGCCTCCAGTGCGCGTCACCATCATCATCATCATCATCATCATCATCATCATCATCATCATCATCATCATCATCATCATCATCATCATCATCATCATCACCACCAGCATGCTTCTCCTCCGTAGCTTCTTCGTCCTTCTCTTACGCCTCCTCCTCCTCCTCCTCCTCCTCCTCCTTCTCCTCCTCCTCCTCCTCCTCCTCCTCCTCCTCCTCCTCCTCCTCCTCCTGTCCACGATCGACACGATGCTGCCGGTGAAGGTCCAGACACCACTGCAAGTACGTGGGTGCCCGTGGGCTTGCCGCTGAACCCTGGCGGAGGACTGCTCTTCGCCGACGGCTCTGCTGCAGCGTCGGACCCCTCCGTTTCCACGGCGGGGCCTTCGGCCGAGGAGTGGCCGTCGTCTTCGACGTCGTCGGCAGTGGCTGCTGTTGCTTCGCCGTCTCGGCACGTGGCCTGCGACTCTGACGGCGGCGACCTCAGCGGCTTTTAATTCTAGCTGTTGCGCTCTGGGAAGTTCGTCAGCCTACCCATCCGTCTTGGATTCCTCGTATTGGAGTGGCCTGACGGCCGGTGCCGCCGACCCTGATCGAAGGGGCTAGGAGGGGGAGGAGGGGGAGGAGGAGGAGGAGGAGGAGGAAAGGAGGAGAAGGAGGAGGATAGCAGAAGCAGGAGGAGGAGGAGCAGGAGGAGGAAGAGGAGGAGGAGGAGGAGGAGGAACAAGGCGAGGAGGAGAGGAGGAGGAGGAGGAGGAACAAGGTGAGGAGGAGGAGGAGGAGGAAGAGGAGGAGGAGGATGATGATGATGCTGATGATGCTGATGCTGATGCTGATGCTGATGCTGATGCTGATGCTGATGCTGATGCTGATGCTGATGCTGATGATGATGATGATGATGATGGTGGTGGTGGTGATGATGATGATGATGATGATGATGATGATGATGATGATGATGATGATGATGATGATGATGATGATGATGATGATGATGATGATGATGATGATGATGATGATGATGATGATGATGAGTAGGAGGAAGAGAGGAGAAGGGGGAGGAGGAGGAGGAGGAGGAGGAGGAGGAGGAGGACAAGGGGGAGGAGGATGAGGACGAGAACCTCCTCGCGACGCCCTCTGGGCTTTCTCGAAGGCTGCCGGGGGAGTCGGATCTGGGGGGGGGGGCCCCCCTGGTCCTCCCCGGGACCCCCCCCGGCCGGGGGAGTCGGATCTGGGGGGGGAGGGGCCCCCCCGGTCCCCCCCGAGACCCCCCCGGGTCCGGACCCCCCGCCCCCCCCCTCCGCACCGGGGAAGGGAAAAGGGAAGGGGCTTCCCTTCGAAGTATTGACGAGGTTCAATGGATTGCTTGGCACGGCATGTGCAAGGAAGAGGACTCTGCTGACGGAGAGCGGGAGAACGGTGAGTGGAAGCTGGATGCGGCTAGAGAAAGCCGAGCAGGGATCTAGGAGGGAGGCTGTATTTGAATATCGCAGATGAGTCTTGGGTCTACACTGGTCCTCCTCCTTCGCCTCCTCCTCCTCCTCCTCCTTCTCCTCCTCCTCCTCCTCCTCCTCCTCCTCCTCCTCATGACCATCATCATCACCCCATACCCTCCTCCGCCTGCTGCTCCGCCTCCTCCTCCCCCGCCTCCTCCTGCTCCGCCTCCCCCGCGCTTCAGGTTCGACGGCTACGCGGAGTTCCTCTTCGAGCAGGTCGGCGGCGCCCTGCTGCGGGCCTGCGCGGGCCAGCCCGGCGGGGCGAAGGCCGCGGAGGCCTTCCGGCTCGTGGACACGTCCGGCGGCGGCGACGGCCGGGTCGGGCCCGAGGACAGCCCCGGGCAGCAGGATGAGCAGGAGGGGGGATGCGGAGAAGAAGAAACATAATAATAATACAAATAATGATGATAATAATGATAATGATAATGATAATGATAATGATAATCACAATAATAATACTACTACTAATAATAATAAGCATAATAATAAGAATAAGAATAACAATAATACGAATACGAATACTCATACTAATAATAGTAATAATAATATTAATATTATTACGAAAAATAAGAATAATGAGAAATTAATAATATAAATAATAATAAGAAGGAGGAGTAGGGCAATAGGCAGAGCCTGTCCCTTACACTCGGCCCGTTGCGCGCACCGGGAAGCGGGAGGCGGGGGTGCAGGAATTCCGAGGAAGATGGGAAGAGGCTGGAGGAGGGAGGAGGAGGAGGAGGAGGAGGAGGAGGAGAAGGAGGCGAAGGAGGAGGACCAGTGTAAACCCAAGACTCATCTACGATATTCAAACACAACCTCCCTCCAAGATCCCTCGTCACAGGCACCCGCAACGGGTCATTTCCATTGAGGGAAGTGCCACATTGGGGGACAGCCGTGTGAACATCTTGAAGCGTGCCAAGACACTATCCTCAGGACCTGACTGTTACGTCGTGGTGATCCAGAATCGCGCCAGAACGCCGTTCTTTGGACGTCAATACCACGAATCAGCGTAACTGTTGCGCCCTGGCAATCCTGAATCATTCCTAGACGCAGTTGATGGTACGTTAACCATGAGTGTCAGTGAAAGTGTCGTAAATGTTTAGAACCAACGCGCGCTGCCCTAAGGCAAAAACCACATTTTGATAAGGAGCCGCCCTCAATCCGTGAAGCTCTTGCAACTTGTTAAAACGAATGTGACAGGCGTCAAGGCGAGAGCCACATTTTGAAAACGAACCGCCCTCAATCCGTGAAACACTTGCAGATGTTCAAGACAAATGTGCGCAGCGCTAAGGCGAGAGCCACCTTTTGAAAACGGCCCGCCCCCAATCCGCGAAACTCTTGCAACTTGATGAAGCGAATGTGCGCGGCGGTAAGGCGAGAGTCACATTTTGAAAACGGCCCGCCTTCGATCCGTGAAACTATCGCAATTGTTTGAAACGAGCGTGCGCGGCGCCCAGGCGAGAGCTACAGTTTGAAAACCACCCGCGCTCAATCCGTGAAATTTTCGCGTTTTTGGGAAACGAGTGTGCGCGGCGCTAAGGCGAGAGTTACCTTTTGAAAACCACCCGCCCTCCATCTGCGAAACCGTTGTCAAAGTTTGAAGCATCAGGGTCATACGTGGCGAGGACGTCTCAGGCGAGACGCCCGCCCCGAATTTCGACCAGCCCAGGGGTGCGACAGAGAGAAGTTGTTTATAATAAGAAGGAATGGAGGGGAAGGAAGAGTAGGAGGAGGAGGAGGAGGAGGAGGACGAGAATGAGAATGAGAAGGAGGAGGAGGAGGTGAAGAGGAGGACGGTGACTGCGGTGAGTGGGATCAGGGAAAGGAGGCATAGAAGGAGGAGGAGGAGGAGGAGGAGGAGAAGCAGGAGAAGGAAGAAGAGAAGGCGGAGGAGGAGGAGGAGGAGTCAGGAGCAGGAGGAGCTGCGGGAGGAGCGGGATGCGCAGGAGGATCAGGTGGTGGGGTGTTGGGCGAAGATGTGTAGAACATGATCGCGCCGAGGAGCACTTGCACGCGATGTGTGGTCTCACTGGCGCCAGCAAGCCACCGATCCCCGAGATAATTCGCGGCGATGTAGCCTGGACGGGAGCATGACTGGCACCAGACAGACGTGCCTGACCATCGTGAGTGAGTGTTACTACCTCACTATGCCCTGGGCAGCTGACGAGCAAAGGTCTGCCAGGCTGCCGACTCGAACCGTCTGGCGTCTCGGGGAGGAACAGCAGGAGGAGGCGGAGGGAGGGAGGGAGGGCCCCTCCGGGACTGAGGGGATAAGGGGGGTGCAGGGCGGGAGGGAGGCGCGCTGTGCCCAAGGATGCCTCCCACCAAGAAAAGTGTGCGACGGCCAGCTGTCCCCCTTCCTCGTCTCGACGAGGCCTCCTGGTGGGATGCCCGTCGTTCGTGGAGCAGCAGGGGGAGCCGCCAGCTGGTGCGGGCGTTCGGCATCGGCGCGAGAGGGTGTCAGCAACATAAGTTAGCGGGGGGAGGAGAAGGGAGGAGGAGGAGGAGGAGGATGAGGAGGAGGGGGAGACCAGAGTAAACCCATCGTTGGCTCAAACTCATGATGAACTAATGATGCTGGAATAGTCATACCCTCTCGTCCCAAGTGCCTTTCTCATAAGGTCGTACAACTATTCCTTTTCAATGCGGGGAACACTCCCTTGAAAGGCAAGAGCCCCGCTTTGAAAACGGAACTTCGCTGCTGTCTTCTAGCTGTAAGGAACGCGGAGAGACATCATCATATAGTTGACGGAAGTTTCCAGCGATAATTTTGTTTCGGAATGAAGTTGCCCTCCATCCGTGTACGTGTTGCACAATTATGTAAATATGTTGTTGGGGAGTCTCAAACAAAGGCCTCATGTTGAAGAGGATCCGCCCTCCATCTGTGCACATAGCTGAACTTATGGAGTTCATGCGTGCGGAGTACCACAGGCGAAGTCCACTCAAAGGAACCACCCTCCATCCGTTATAAATACTTGTTGTACAACGCTGAGGACGCCCAAGTCCAGCCCAAATGTGGAAACGAACCTCCCTCCATCAGTGTACCTGCTGTAAGAGTTTTGAGGCGAGTGTTCGAGGTGTTGAGGCGAGAGCCACAGTTTGAAAACAAATCGCCCTCAAGCAGAGCTGCTGGAAACGGTCGAGACGAATGTGCCCTGCGCCAAGGCGAAGGCCGCATTGTGAGAACCATTCGCCCATAAGTATTGCAATTGCTGGAAACTTGTACGTCAAATGTAGCTTGCCAGGGCGACAACCACGTTCGAAAGCCGGTCGCCAGCCATCCGTGTAGCCGCTTGGAATCTTTAAGACGAATGTGGGCGGCGCAAAGGCGAGGCACATCGTTTGAAACCGACTCGCCTTCATGTTCTGTACATGCTCGAACTTCCAACTTCTTACAATCGACGAGTAACTCTAAGGCTAGAGGCACGGCCAGCCGTACCGACACGTCTGGTGGTCCGACGAGGAGGAGTTACTTTTACGGGAAAGGGGTGGAGGAACAGGAGGAAGAGAAGGAGGCGGAGTAGGAGGAGGAGGAGGAGGAGGAGAAGGGCGAGAGACGAGGAGGAGGAAGAGGATGAAGAGGAGGAAGGAAGCAACAAGGACAGGTGACGGGAGGAGGAAGGATGGAGGAAGGAAGATGGAACGAAGGGGGGATGGAGGGACCGCCAACGAGAGGGTGGTTGGCTGCTGGCAGGAGCTGCAAGTGGCGGCGGTTAAGTACGGAGATCGGAACCTCACGACCCCGCAGCAGTCGCGCTTTGTGGAGCTGGTGAGCAAAAAGGCGGGCATCTCTTCAGGCGGGGAGGGGAGGAAGACTGGGGAGGAGGAGGATTAGGGGGAAGGGCAGCAGCAGCAGCAGCAGCAGCAGCAGCAGCAGGACCAGTATCAGGAGGAAGGGAAGGAGCGGGAGAAGGCGGAGGAAGAAGAGGAGGAGGAGGAGGGGGAGGAGGTGTAGGGGGAGGGGAGACCTCTGTGTTTTTTTTCTCTGAAGTTTGCTTGCCAGTGTCCAGCTAGCAGGGGGTCGACGGGCCTCGCAAGTACCGGCAGAGCCCCGACAACTGAGACGGCGCCCTCCGAAAATCAGTGGTTGTCCGTGGCACACTCAGCGTGTGCGAGCGCTCGAGGTGCACTTACACTCAGCCAAGACGCGAGCGCTGAGACTGCATTCTAGATTTGTTTGAGCATGCACGACATCACAGCACAAAGTCGTGGAGGAGGGAGGGGCCAGGGTCTGAGGTAGGAGGGAGGTTGCCAGCAGGAAGGGAGGGAGGAGGGGGAAGGGAGGAGGAGGAGGAGGAGGAGGAGGAGGAGAAGGAGGAGGAGGAGGAGGAGGAGGAGGAGGAGGAGGAGGAGGAGGAGGAGGAGGGAGGGAGGGAGGGAGGGAGGGAGGGACGGAGGGAGGGAGGGAGCCATCCCAGCCCAGCCCGGCGGGCACCGGCCGGTGGCAAGCCCCAGGTCCCCCAGGGTGGTGTTCGTGCGACCGCACCGCGCGCGCTCCAGGCAGAAGCGCCGTCGCCGGTCCGTCGTTCACCGATCGGCTGCTCGATCTGCACCCCCGCCTCCCAGGATTAAGTCGGGCCTGTCCCCCTACAGGAGGATTTTCGACGAAAAATAAAACATACCCCAAACATAGTCAAAAAATAGTCCAAAAATAGTCTGGGGACTATTTTTTGAGTATTTTTGACCTTTTTGGGGCATTCTTGGGGGTATTTTTATTTCTCGTCGAAAATCCCTTGGTAGAGGGACACGCCCGACATGATCCCAGGAGGGGGAGGGGGCCGCCCGCCGCCCCGAGGCGGCCCTCCGCGCGCGGCCGCGGGCGGAGGGGCGGCAGCGCCTCCGCCCCCGCGCGCGCTCCAGGGCCCGCAGGCGCTCGCACGCGCCGGGTGCTGGCCCGCCGCGCGCCCTCTCGCGCGGCACGCGCAGCGCCGCCCCATAGCCTCCGGGCAGCCGCGTTAACCGAGCCCCGCCCGGCCTCCTCCTCCTCCTCCTCCTCCTCCTCCTCCGCCTCCTCCTCCGCCTCCTCCTCCTCCTCCTCCTCCTCCCTCCTCCTCCTCCTCCTCCTCCTCCTCCTCCTCCTCCTCCTCCGCTCCTGCTCCTCCTCCTCCTCCTCCTCCTCCTCCTCCTCCTCCTGTAACTGCTCCTCCCTCCCCTCCCTTCCCTGACTCGTCCCATGCTCACTTCGAGGCAACCGCGACCGCCGAGTCCGCTTTGCCTCCCCTCCATCTGCGCTGCCTCCTCCTACTCCTCCGCCCCCTCCTTCTCCCCCCCCTCCTCCTTTTCATCGCTCTTATTGTCAAGGGGGCTGCTGTGGGCGCTTGAGGAAACATTCACCGCGCTTCACTCATCGCCCGGCCCGGTAGGGCGCCCGCAGCCAGGGTCCACAGAGCGGGCGTGGTATGTCAGCCATCCCAGATCGCCACTCTGCGATGGGAGGAGGGAGATGAAGAGGAACAAAACGAAGGGGAGGAAAAGAGAAGGATGAGGCCGAGAGGAGGAGGATGAGGAGGAGTAAGAAGGGAGGAGGAGAAGGATGAGGAGGAGGAGGAAGGAAGGAGGAGAAGGATGAGGATGAGGAAGGAAGGAGGAGGAGGAGGAGGAGGATTGGATTGGACACTTCGGGGGGACAAGGCTGAGCCTTCCAGCAACGAAGGTTAGAGGGATACCCTGCATCGCTCCGCGGCACAGGGCCCCCCTCCAGCCAACATGCCAGAAACCATAACCTCCGAGCCAAGGGACGCCACGCGTGGTCTCAGCACAACGCCCAGGAGACGGCAAGCTCGAGGCCGTTGCCTCGACACGAACAGTAAGCTACACAAGCGACTGCTCCACATCATCATCGTCATCCTCCTCTCGTCCTCCTGGCCTCCACCACCCAAATGCCTACGTGCGGAGGGGCGGAGGGGCGAAGGAGGGAGGAGAATATGGTTCGAAGGGGAGGGGAATAAGGGGAAAGACTCCTAAAAGGCGAAGCGCTGCCGCCTCACCTCGACCTTGCCCTTCCCCTCGCCCTTGCCCTTGCAATTGTTCAGCGCGGCCTGGCATTCCCTGCACCGGGTCGCCCGGCCCTGGATGGCGAACCTGCGCATGCGCGCGCAGGCGCGGCAGCCAACGACGACTCCGCCGTCAATCCAGTCCTTGCCTTTACCCTTGCCCTTGTAGTTGTCCTTGCCCTCGAGGGGGGAAGAGACCACGGGTCGGGAGAAGGAGGAGGAGGAGGAGGAGGAGCAGGAGGGGGGCTGACAAGAGGACGAAGAGAAAGGAGGACATCCGCACAGAGGATCCGAGCCAGCCAGGGCTCCAGGGATCCATAGGGGGGGGAGCGGGGTGGCCGCCGGCGCACCCCTGGCAGAGCCAGCGGCCGATCTCTGCCGTGGCGGGCGGCCTGCCGGGAGGAGGCTTGCATACCCTCGCGCGGGATTGTATTATAGAGAAGCGCTGCCTCGAGGTCAGAGAGTGCTTTCCTGTGTCTAGAAATCGTTCGGAGGTTGATAATCCTCCTACCCCGTCACTGTCGATGAGCGAATTGGCCGTTTTCGGTTCGCGAGAGGGCGTCGCGGCCGTCATTTTTGCGGGTCCAGGTCCGTCGGTTTCGGTCCCAGGCCGTTTTCACTAAAGGGTGGTTCACTAAAGGGAGGTTTGTCCACCGCCGAAAAGTGTATTCCAGGGCCCGCCTTGTGAGACGTCCTCAAATAAGGCCCCACAGTGTGGCCTGGCTGGCAGGCCAGCGGGTCCAAAATATAGATTTCTGGAGTGGTTTGGGCTGGTTGGTTGCCTGGCTTGTTGCTGGGTCGAAAAATCTGATCTGGGCCCCGCGGTGTGGGACGTCCTCAGACATGCCACGGGAAAGACTGGTTGATTTGTTGGATTGTTGGCTGGTTGGCTTGCTGGTTGGCTGGCGAGTTATTCGGTAGGTGGGCTGGTTTGCTGGTTGATCGGTTGGCTGGTTGGCCGCTTTGGCGTTAATTGGTGTTCAACTCGTTTTCGCCTTGTCTCTAAACTAAATCTCGTGAAATTGCGAGTGAAATGCAACGCAATGCGCTGCACTGCAACCGAGTGCAAACGCAATTCAATGCCAATGCAATCCAACAGAATGCAATGCAATGTAACTGCAATTTCGATGCAACGCAGCGGAAACGGAAAATCCGACCCCTCACACGGCCACGTCTCGGGGCAGAACAAATATTATTCCACACGATTCGCCACGTGGCAGCGCCTGCAGAGCGAACAACCATACTATTCCACTCTGCTCGTCATTTGATAACGCCGGGGGTGGGCGAACAGAAAGTAGTATTCAACTCCACTCGCCACTTGGCAACGCCCGGGGGGGGAGGTGGGGGGGCGAAGAACGAGTATTCCATTCTACTCGTCACGTGGCAACGCCGCAGGGGGTGGACAAAAAATACAGTTCCACTCCACTCGCCACGTGGGAACGCCTGGTGGCCAGACAATACCATTTGGGAGCGCTGGGGGCGGGGGACAAACAACTCGACTTGCCCCGCGGCGGCGCCGCAGACGACGACGACGACGACGACGAAGAGGACGACAGGGACGACGACGACAACGGACGACGACGGACGACGACGAGGACGACGATGACGACGACGAAGACGAGGACGACGACAACGACGACGACGACGAGGACGATGACAACGACGACGGACGACGACGACGACGACGACGACGACGACGACGACGACGGACGACGACGACGACGACGAATACGACGACGACGACGACGACGACGACGACGACGACGACGACGACGACGACGACGACGACGACGACGTACGACGGACAACGACGGACGACGGACGACGTCGATGAAGATGACGACGACGAGGACGACGAAGAGGACAGCGATGACGATGACGAAAACGACGACGACGACGACGACGGATGACGACGGACGACGGACGACGTCGACGAAGAAGACAGCGACGACGACGAGGTCGACGAAGAGGACGACGACGACGAAGACGACGAAGACGACGACGACGCAGACGACGACGACGACAACGACGGAATGGAACCGAATGGAATGGACTGGAATATAATGGATTGGGATGGAATGAAATGAGGTCGGATGGGATAGGGTGCGATGGAATGGGACGGAATGTCATGGAATGCGATGGGATGAAATGGGTTGGACTGAAATGGAACGGAACGGAACGGAGCCACCGCCGCCTGGTGGCGTTCTTGTTCTCGTCCTGTTCCGTTTTATTCCAATCCATTCCAATCAATTCCGCCCCATCGCATCCCATTCCACATTCTATTCCATCCAATTCCATCCCATTCCATTCCGTCGCCGTCATTGTCGTTTGCGTTGTTATCGTCGTTGTCGCCATCCAGTTGCAGGATCAAGCTATGTCTCCAGGTTTGTTCGTTGGTTGGTTGGTCGGTTGGTCGGTTGGCCAGTGGGTTGGTTCGCCAATTTTGGCACACCCCTCACACATGTCGCGCCTCTGGGGCCTGGGCTACGCCTTTGTGACCCACATGCGTTTTATTTGACGATCGAATATTTCTAAAATCCCCCAGAGGTATATGTTAGGCAGCGCGGACCTCAACCAGTGTGCGTATAGCCGTCTATTTAGGGCAGTATATGTGGGGCACTCTAGGTGGCACAACTAATGTGGAAGAACTTGGAGTAGTCAACTCCACTGCTCGCGCAATCATCCCACCCACCCATCCGCAACTTGGTTTGCAAAACCCATGCGGTGGCGATCGATGACTGCCTGGCGCTGGCTGGCACGTCACTGCGGCCGCACTAGCACGCGCAGGCTCGCGCGCAGAGTGGCCTGCTAGTCTGATTCGGCCGACGCGGCCGCGGTGACGCTGACCGCTGGGCACTTCCCAGCGTGTCTCGCAGGCCGCGCTGACGCGCGGGCACTTCGGTACGAGTCGGTGGCCCGGGCGGGCGCGATACCACGACGACGTCGACCGACAGACACGATGATGATAGTAGCGATGCTGGTGACGATGATGACATTGTCGACGGCAGGGCCAATGACGGCGCCGATGCTGATCGGCGGTGATGGTGTTGATGTGTCGGCGGGGAAGGTTTTGGAGGGATTTTGACATGGCGTGCCGCTGGCGCGCGCGCGCGACTGGCGCGCATGGTGTGTTGTGACAGGGATCGTCCCCCCCCACCCCCACCCCCACCCCAGCACACGCAAGGGCGTTCGAATGGTTTCGACATACGCGCGCGGGAGGCCCCTTTGGTCGCATGTGGTGGAAGTTCTGAATATAATCCAGGCTGTCTTTAAGAATTCGCCAGAGCGGGCGCGCACATTTCTTTGAAAACTCACGTTGCAAAACCATTGGTTTAAATCTGTTTTCGGGACCGTCGATTCTGACATCCTGATGACGCCTGGGGTTTTCGGCATGCGCGCGACGACGCGCGCGTGTGGACGTTGTCCCGTTGATCGCAAAGAAGGGCTATTGCAAATTGGTACTTGTGATCAAAGAGTGCGCGCGCAAAAGATGTTGGGCAATCTCTTTTGTTTAATATGGGGGGCATCTATGTTGAGCAATATTTTTGATACAATATATCTGGTGCAATCAATCTGTGTTGTGCAATCATGGGTGGCGACGGAGCGGCGACGGCGAGAACGTAGCCGCCACACCGCCACCCAGGCTCAGACGACGGGCGGCGACGAGGCGGCGACGGGGCGGCGGCGACGGCGCGCACGGAACTGCCAGACCGCCACCCAGGCCCAGTTCCTCAGGAAAGAAATACAGTCAACCCGCATAGCAAGGATGGGCAACCTTCCCAAGGGTACCCTTGCATCCTTGCCTCCTCGGTCCATCCTTCGCCGCTTTCGTCGGCCGCGCCCCGCTCGGAAAGCTTCGAGGTGGGCGTCCAAGGCCCCTGCATCCTTCTCGCGCATCCTTCTTGCACGGGTGGACCGTAGGAACCCCTCAGAGCAAGCAAGTACCGCTTGGGGGCCGTGACATTAACGCGGGACCCGTCGCCGCAGTGCAACCCCAGACCCCCGACGTAATGTTTTTTTCATGACGTCGACCCCCAGAGGTCCCGACCCTTTCCCCATGACCGGCTTTGCATCCTGAGTCGTTTTTTGACGATCCCGAGGCCCGGTGAGGGCCCCCAGAGGCCGAAAATGGCGAAAAACCTCCCGTCGTGATTTTTTCATTACTCGAGGGGGTCTGGGACTGCAGCCACCAGCAAGGGTCGTGGGCAGGCTCCGCCCTCGACTTCTCGCACTTCCAGGCCGTGTTCATCCCGAAGGGCCCCGCGGCGGCGCCGCGCCCGGCCTGCACCGCCCGGCCGGTCGGCCCCGATCACGGGCCGCCGCCGCCGCCGCCGGCAGCTTCTGATGCGCCCTCGGCCTCGCGCCTCCTCCTCCTTCGGGGGCCACATGCGAACCCTACCCCTACCCCCACGATCTCTGAGAGGGGGGGGGGTCCACTCCACTCGGGAGCTCCCGAGCGGAGCGAACCCCCCCCTCCCCCTCAGAAATCGTGGGGGGTAGGGGTAGGGTTCGCATGTGCCCCCCCTCTTCCAGGAGGAGGGGGAGGAGGAGGAGGAGGAGGAGGAGGAGGAGGAGGAGGAGGAGGAGGAGGAGGAGGAGGAGGAGGAGGAGGAGGAGGGGAGGAGGAGGAGGAGGAGGAGGAGGAGGAGGAGGTGGTGGTCCCCGCTTGGTCATCTCCTGACGCCGTGCCTCCTGCCCGGCGTCGTCCCGGGGGGACTCCGCGGCCCAGCGCTCTCGAAGCCGCGGCGGCCCGTGGCGGCTCCTCCGCGCAGGGAGGCGGGCGGAGGGCATCTCGGCGAGAGGACTGCTGTCAGGAGGGGAAAAAACACACAGACACAATTGATCGTCGATCCCCAGAAAATATGTGAAAATATGGGAGGTGGGGGGGAAGACAGAAACCCAGAAAACATGAAAAAATATGGGGAATCATTGTATTTGTGTGTATGTACTTGCGTGTCCCTGGGCCCCTTGACTTCTGCGCGCAGGGAGGCGGGCGGAGGGCATCTCGGCGAGAGGAGACTGCTGACGCGGTCGCCCGCTCCATCGCCAGGGATCGGCGGCGCGCCTGGGGAGGGAAGCAGATCAGGAGGGGAAAAAACACACAGACACAATTCATCGTCGATTCCCAGGAAAATATGGGAAGATATGGGAATTGGGGGGGAAGACAAAAGCCCAGAAGATATGGGAAACATATGGGGGATCGGGTTGCGTGTGTGTATTTGTTTGTGTGTCCCAGGGCCCCTTCAGCAGAGGGGGCGGGCCTGCTCGGAAGGCTCAGAAGTCAAGCAGCGACGCAGCGTCCCGGCTCGCCTATTAGCCCCACCGAACCATGTTCTAAGAACCTCTCGTGGTTCCCGCGAAATCTTCCTAAACCATTTCTGGCGGAGTCTGTCTTGTTTCAACACACAGGGCTTATGTTCTCAGAACACTGCTTGTGTTCTTAGAACATTTTTTATTCCAAAAACATGTCGTGGTATGACTGTAGGAATGCCGGGACGGTCGGTCCCTGCTCAAAGAAGGCCTCTGGCCTTCCGGGAAGTGCTATGAGCGTCCTCTGGAGTCGCAGAGGGCTTAAGGCCAGAGGACTTCTGAGAAGCCCCGCCGCCTTCCGAGGAGGCCGCCCACTTCTGCCTTCTCCTTGGGACGCTCCGCCGAAAGGCCGCTCGGCTGGCCGTAAGCCTGGTTTCTGGAGACCATGTTCAGCGCAGATGTCGAGTGGCATGATAAGGGAAGATCTGTTCTTTGGCTACGCCCTGTTTCTCACCGTCCTCATCCTCCTCGTCGTCGTCATCCTCCTCCTCGTCCTCCTCGTCGTCCTCCTCGTCGTTCTCCTCCTCCTCCTCCTCCTCCTCCTCCTCCTCCTCCTCCACCCCTCCTCCTCTGGGCGCGGCGAGTGCGCCTCCTGCCAACTCCCCGCAGCGCTGCCTCGGCGTCTGGTGGACCCCTGTTGTCGCACTTGGCGACGGCATTCATCAGCGAGCCGTTCTTCTGACATGCCGCCCGCGCCCGCGCCGCCGTAGCTCGCCTGCGGACTGCGGACTCTCACATTCCTTGGCTCCTCTTCCTCCTCCTCCTCCTCCTCCTCCTCCTCCTCCTCCTCCTCCTCCTCGCCTCCTCCTCCTCCTCCTCCTCCTCCTCCTCCTCCTCCTCCTCCTCCTCCTCCTCCCGCTCCTCCTCCTCCTCCTCCTCCTCCTCCTCCTCCTCCTCCTCCTCCTCCTCCTCCTCCTCCTCCGTCGTGGTCCTGGACACGTCGCTCAACTTTATGACCCGACCTGACTTATCATAGAGGGTGCCAGCGGAACCCGGCGGCTATAAGGATGGAAGACGAAACGTGGTCTCGCCTGAATAGCAGGCCATCAGAGCGCTCGTCTGTCAAGGGCGGCGCATCCCGCAGTGGACTAACAACACTTGTAGGGACTTTTTGGGGGAGGGGCCTTGGAACGGAGGGTGTCTTGCAGCATCGCTGATGCGTCTTAGCTTCACTCCGATCCTCCTCCTCCCCCGCCTCCGCCTCCTCCTCCTCCTCCTCCTCCTCCTCCTCCTCCTCCTCCTCCTCCTCACCCCCGACGTCATCCTCCTCCGATGCGCTCAGGTGGTGTATCAGCCGACGCAGCAGCTGCTGCCCCCGCCGAGCCTCGAAGAGTCCTGCATGCACCTGCACCGCCTTGGCCCCGAGCGCATCCGCAGACTGCGGGACCTCCAGGGCGAGGAGGAGGAGGAGGAGGAGGAGGAGGAGGAGGAGGAGGAGGAGGAGGAGGAGGAGGAGGAGGAGGAGGAGGAGGAGGAGGAGGAGGAGGAGGAGGAGGAGGAGGAGGGGGAGGAGGAGGAGGAGGGAGGAGGAGGGAGGAGGAGGAGGAGGAGGAGGAGGAGGGAGGAGGAGGAGGGGAGGAGGGGGAGGAGGGGGAGGAGGAGGAGGAGGAGGAGGAGGAGGAGGAGGAGGACAGCGTCCAACCCAGGACTCTGATGCCCACAGCCCGAGACGCGAGGAGGAGGAGGAGGGGAGGGAGGAGGCATCTCAAGGGTGTCCGCGGTTTGGTCGGTTCGGTTGCTTCGCAGTCGGCGGCGCTCGGTCGGCTTCACTCGGTCGGCTGTTGCGCCGCCGCGTCCTTCTGGGCTGCTTTCCATCCATCGGTTTCGGTCGATTTTGGTTTTGCTGTCGGTTCGGTCGTTTTTTTTGGTGTTCGTGGACGCTCGTGGATCTGGATTGCGAGATTGATGAAGCCTGAAGCTGGTCGGCAAGGGTGGCACAGCAACTCGCGAACGTCGGCTGGTGAACAGAACCGCGCTCGAACGGGCGCCGAGGAGGCGGAACAGCTCGAACAGAGGGTAGACGAAGGAAGGGGGCTCGGAAGTAAATCAAGGAATGTAAAGCTGGAGGGGGAGAGATGGAACACGGCTGACTGGAGCACGGCAGAAGTTGGGAGTCCTCGCTCGTTACTGATCGCCCGCCTCCACATCCCTCCACCGTGGTGGTGAAAGTGGCAGCGCGGTGCGAGAAAGCCACGACGCTGCCCGAGTCGTGAGGCCACCGAACGGGCAAATTCGACGCACACAAGTGAGCCAACGCATCATCGATCTCGTCCATGCGGCGCGATCTGGGCGGCCTCTGCTTCTGCCGAGGTGCCTCTGGTTTCCAACGCACCCACCATCGCGCGGCAAGCAGCAAGAGCGCCCCTGCGCCCTGCGCACGCCGCCAGGATCCGGCGACGAGAGATCGCGAGACGCTGCTGGCACGGAGCCGAAGATCAGCATGGCCAGAACGAGCAATACTGTAGAGGGAAACAATTAGTGATCACCCCCCTTGCCCCCCAAACTCAAAATTGGCACGCGGGGGGGAGACTGCGGTCGAGGTGCAACTCATCAGACCCACCGCCAAATTTGAACATTTGGGGGAGGGGGAGGCGTTCACAGATGAATGTGGCATGAGTGTTCGCTAATTTTTCCGAGGCCTGTACTGACCCGTAGAACCCGCTTCCAGGACAGGCCGCCGATCTAGATCCGAGCATTAAGCGCCGACGGGCGATAATAAAGTACCCCTCCCTCCTTTTCCCCCTCTATTTGTTTTACTATCCCCGCCAGGACCCCGAACTTTATCATCCCCGGGGGTTTATTAGCGCACGGTTTCGGTTAGCGTGCAATGCGCGCAACCAGTGCAGCAGGCGGAGAGGCGCGTGGCCGCACCCGCACGCGCCGCCGTCGGCCACCTCCCGCGGTTCGGCCACGGACGCCTCGCTGGTCGGGTCGGGCGCTTCTTCGGCCGGAAGCGCCGCAGCACCCGCCGCAGCCAGCGCGCCACCGGCTGGGCCCTTGCCGCCCACAGCCCATTCTCGGAAACTGGAGCATGTACATTACCAGTGGCGGGCGGTTTTTCAATCCCAGGACTTTTTTTAGGGTCGGGGACGACGTCAGGGCGGTGTGGTGTATACTTTTTTTCCGTTTTCCCTTGGAAGCACAAAAAATACACCAGGATGCCGCATACACCATAATCCGTTTTTTGTGCGAATCCCAGTGCGGGGCCGGAAAACAGCATCGGTGTAGAAAGTTCGGTTCTTTACATTCCTCTCCCCCTCTGGGGCCACTTCCCCATTCCTGGGCTCCGCGCGCAGGGGATTTCGGCCCCGGAGCGGGTCCTCGGGAGCAGGTCGTAGCAGCCGCCGCCTCGCGCGCGGCCCGCGCCGCATCCCAGCAGCCTCGCCCTCCGCCCGGGCACTGTGGACGAGCGCGCGCAGCGGTCTCCGCAGGCGCTGCCTCCGCGGGCGGCCCAGCAGCAGCCACGTGAGCGGCCAGAGCGGGCTCCCCGCCGGCGCTGCGAGCCTCGGGAGCGGCAGGGAGCACGAAGGAGAGGAGAGGGCGGCGGCGGCGGCGGCCGGGCGGCGGCGCCGAGGCCGCAGAGAGGGCCCCGCCCGGGTGCACGGCGGGAGCTGGGCGCCGCGCGGCGCGGGGTCCGGACGGGGGGAGCCCGAGGATCGGGGAAGAGACGACCCGCGCGGCACCGCCGAAGACCTCGCGGAGCTCTGCGGCGAGGTGCGTGCCGCCGCGCCGGCCAATGGGGGGGCGCCCGCGGCCTGCCCGGGGTACCCTGAAGGGCTGGCCAGCGAGAGTTGGCCAGGATGGGCCGAAGGGGCAAGGATCACAGACCCCCGACGTCATGATTTTTTCATGACGTCGACCCCCCGAGGTCTCGACCCATTCCCGGGGACCGGTTTTTCGTCCTGAGTCGTCTTTTGACGGTCCCGAGGGCCGGTAAGGCCCCCCAAGGGCCAAAAATAATAAAAAACCTCCCGTCGTGATTTTTTCATAACTCGAGGGGGTCTGGGATGCAAGGGTACCCTTGCCAAGTCGCCCCCTCCTTCCTATTGCCTGTGTCTGAGGCATCCTTGGGGCTCGCGTCGATCCTCCTGGAGGGGGCCGCGCAGCCCCGCCTCCGCGCCGCCCCAGCACGGCCGGGCCGGCGAGGGCGCCGGCGAGGAGCCGCTCGCGGCGATAGCTCGGCGCGCGGCCGCCCGGGCTGCGGCCAGGCCGCGGCCCGGCGGGGGGGGCAGCGGCGCGCCTGGGCCCCGGAGCCGTTGGACGAGGCACGGCGGGGAGAGGGGGGGCGAGACGGCTGCGGATTCGGTCCGAGCCGAATTGGAGGGGGGAGGGGGGAGGGGGAGGGGGAGGAACTAGGGAGGGATGGATGGGGGGAAGGGCGGGCGGGAGGGAGGGGAGGGGAGGGAGGAGGGAGGAGGGAGGAGGGAGGAGCGACGGCGGAGGGAGGTGGACGGGGGGGGGGTGGGAGGAGAGAGGAGGGCCGAGGACACCGAGGAGGGCGGAGGGAGCCGAGGAAACGGAAGGGGGCGGTGCGAGGGGGGCGGCGTTCGGAGAGTGCGGGCGTGGTTTGGGAGAGGGCAGGGGGCTTCTCGGGAGCGCTCTTAGAGGCCTCTCTTGGAAGACAGGGGGCCTCTTACCCAGACCCCCGACGTCATGATTTTTTCATGACGTCGACCCCCCGAGGTCTCGACCCATTCCCCGGGACCGGTTTTTCGTCCTGCGTCGTTTTTTGACGGTCCGGAGGGCCGGTAAGGGCCCCCAAAGGCCAAAAATATTGAAAAACTTTCCGTCGTGATTTTTTCACGACGCGAGGGGGTCTGGGTAGAAGACCAGGGGGGCTTCCAAGAGGCCTTCTCAGGGGCCCCCTGGGCCTTGCCGTGCAGCCCCCTCGCCGTCTGGGAAGCCCGCTCGCATGCTTGGAGAGGCCCGCTCCGCTCGCGCCACAGCCTGGCGCGCGCCGCAAGCTGAGAACGTGGGGAGGAGGAGGAGGAGGAGGAGGAGGAGGAGGAGGAGGAGGAGGAGGAGGGGGAGGAGGAGGCGGAAGAGGAGAGGGGGAGGAGGAGGAGGAGGAGGGGGAGGAGGAGAAGGAGGAGCAGGAGGAGGAGGAGGAGGAGGGGGAGGAGCAGGAGGAGGAGGAGGAGGAGGAGGGGGGGGAGGAGGAGCAGGAGGAGGAGGAGGAGGAGGGAGGAGGAGGAGGAGGGGGGAGGAGGAGGAGGAGGAGGAGGAGAAGGAGGAGGAGGAGGAGGAGGAGGAGGAGAGGAGGGGGAGGAGGAGGAGGGGAGGAGGGGGAGGCGGAGGAGGAAGAGGAGGAGGAGGAGCGGAGGAGGAGGAAGAGGAGGAGGAGGAGGAGCAGGAGGAGGAGGAGGAGCAGGAGCAGGAGGAGGAGGAGGAGGAGGAGGAGGAGGGGGAGGAGGAGGAGCAGGAGGAGCAGGAGCAGGAGGAGGGGGAGGAGGAGGAGGAGGAGGACGAGGAGAAGGAGGAGGAGGAGGAGGAGGAGGAGGAGGAGGAGGAGGAGGGGCGAGGAGGAGGAGCGAAACTTGCTCTGGGGCGTTCCGGCACGCTCCGGAGCACGCCTGGGCGCCCGATGCCTTCTCCAGGGCCGCTGGCTCGCAGGCTCTCCCGATGCGTCCTCGTCCGAAGTGGTCCTCGCTCGGGCGACGCCTCTGTGGAGATACAGTGAGCGGCTTGAGTGAGGAACACTTACTTTTCAAAAGGGGCTCGGTCGTTCCTGAGGTTCGCATGCGTTGTTTACAGTTCCTGCTGCATTATTTGTTATGTATCGTTCCTTATGCGTTCTTCCTTGGGATAAAAAAGGGGCTTCGTTCCTTATTTATCGTTCCTTAGGTCAACGCCCCGACTGTATGGGGGGATGGCGGTTAAGACATCCGGAGGGGGGGGGGGGGGGCATCGCGCAGCAGCGCCGTGGGCGGTGGCAAAAGGAGTTCTTGGCCTGCTCCCTGGCGCCGCCGTCGTCGAGATTCGATCGCCTTTCCCAAACCCGCTCGGGGGAAGGCAGCCATGAACATGATCGTTCCCCCGTGCATCTGCCCCAGTCTTTCCGCACAGTCCGAGGGCGCGCCTCTGCCCCCTCTCTCCCCCAGAGGGGCCGCCGCCCTCCTTGCCCTGCAGCCGGGGCCCTGAAGAAGGAACCCTTTTCGTTGAGGAGGAGGAGGAGGAGGAGGAGGAGGACCGGTGTAAACCCAAGATTCACCAACGATGTTGGAATGCACCCTCCTCTCAAGCTCCCTCTTTGGAGGCCCCACACAAGGGATCATTTCCACTGAGGGAGGTGCCCCGTTGGGAGACAACATTGTGAAAATCTTGAAGCGTGCCCAGGCACCAGTCTCAGATATTCTCAGGACATCAACGCCACGAGTCAAACTGACGGTTGCGTCTTGACGATCCTGAACGGTGCCAGAACACCATTCCTCGGACTTCAACACCAGGAATCAGCGTAACTGTTGCGCCCTGGCAGTCCTGAATCCTTCGAAAACACCACAGGAGATTAACCATAATAATCCGCGAAACACTTGCACATGTTTAAAACGAATGCGCGCGGCGCTAAAGCGAGAGCCACATGTTTCAAAGGAGCCGCCCTCAATCCGTAAAGCTGTTGCGAATGTTTAAGAACGAATGCGCGCGGCGCTTGGGCGAAAGCCGCATTTTGAAAACCATCCGGTCTAACTCTTGCAGTGTGTTAAGACGAATGTGCGCAGCGCTCAGGCGAGAGCCACATTTTGAAACCCACCCGCCCCCATCCGTGGAATTTTATGTATTTTTGTTATGACGAGTGTGCGCGGCGATAGGCGAGAGGAACATTTTGAAAACCACCCGCCCTCAATCCGCGAAGCTCTTGCAATTTGTGCTATCGAATGTGCGCGGCGCTAAGGCGAGAGCCACATTTTGGAAGGGGGCCGCCCTCCATCTTTGAAGATGTTGCCAGTTTCTAAGCTGCAGATTCATAAATTGGAAGGACGTGTCAGGCGAAACGCCCGGCCCGCCCTTTCGACTGGCGTCGGGGTGCGACAGGGACGAGTTATTCATACGGATACGGAATAGGAAGAGGATGACGAGGAGGAGGAGTAGGAGGAGGAGGACCAGGAGGAGGAGGAGGAGGACCAGTGCAAACCCAAGACCCACCAAAGATATTGCAATAAACCCTCCCTCCAAGTTCCCTTTCCATGGACTCCTACACGGATTCTTTGTCACAGAGGAAAATGACAACCGTTTGAAAATCTGCAATTACACCAGAACGCGATCCTTGGGACTTCAACGCCGCGAATCACCGTTACTGTTGCGTCTTCACGATCCAGAATCGTGCCAGAACGCGATCCCTTGGACTTCAGCACCGCGTATCAGCATGATTGTTGCGCCCTGCCATTCCGACATCGTGCCAAAACACATGTTTGGGACGTTACCCATGAGAGCCCTCGAAGTTGCGGCAAACTCTTAAGACGAATGTGCGCGGCGCTGTGGCGAGAGCCACATTTTGAGAAGGAACCGCCCTCCATCCGCGAATCCCTGGCAAACTTTTAGAGCGAATGTGCGCGGCGCTAAGGCGAGAACCACATCTTGCAAACGGGCCGCCCTCAATCCGCGAAACTCTTGCAGACTTTTAAGACGAGTGTGCAAGGCGCTAAGGCGAGAACCACATTTTGGAAGCGACCCGTCCTCCATCCGTGAAGCTGCTGCTAGTTTCTAAGCTTCAGGCTCATACATGGTAAGGACGTCTCAGGCGAAATGCCCGGCCCGCCCTGTCGACCAGCTTCGGGGTGCGACAGGGAGGAGTTATCACAAGAGGAGGAGGAGAAGGAGGAGGAGGAGGAGGAGGAGGAGGAGAAGGAGGAGGAGGAGGAGGAGGAAGAGGAGGAGGAGGAGGAGGAGGAGGAGGAGGAGGCAAAGGAGGGAGGAGGGAGGAGGAGACGGACTTCTCCGCCCCTCCGGGACCGTCGCCCTCTCCGCGAGGACCGCGCGCACCGCCGGAATCCGGACGGGCACCTCGGCCTGCAGGATTGCCCCGCGGTCCGTGGGGGGGGGCTGCGGCTCTGCGCCTGGGCTTCGGGCCCGTGACGGGAGGGGAGGAGGGAGGAAGAGGGGGAGGGTGAAGGGGAGGAGGAGGGGGCAAGAGGGAGGAGGAGGAGGGAAGAGGGAGGAGGAGGGGGAGGAGGAGGAGGAGGAGGAACGGAGGAGGGGGAGGAGGAGGAGGGGGGAAGAGGGAGGAGGAGGGGGGAGGATGAAGGGGAGGAGGAGGGGGGAAGAGGGAGGAGGAGGAGGAAGGAGGAGGGGGACCGTAGATGGACAAAAAAGAGGAACCCTTGACACCACGCCCCCCCCCCCAATTTCAAAGTTGGCCTCGAGCATTTGGCAGCACAGGCGTGAGAGGACAAAAAAAGTGGAACCCCCAGGGCCTCCGAGAGGCCGAACCCAACTTTGAAATTGGGGGGAGGGGGGGGGGGGGGGGACGAATGCGGGGCCGAAAACGAAGGGGTTCCATTTTTTTGTCCCCTTACCGGAGGATGAAGGGGAGGAGGAGGGGGGAAGAGGGAGGAGGAGGAGGAGGAGGAGGAGGAGGAGGAGGAACGGGAAAGGTCCGCAGGAGAGGCGGGAGAATGGGAAGGAGGCAGGAAAATATGGTGATGGTGGTGGTGGTGGTGGTGCTGATTCTGATGTTGATGCTGATGATGATGATGATGATGATGATGATGATGATGATGATGATGATGATGATGATGATGATGATGATGATGATGATGATGATGATGATGGTGGTGGTGGTGGTGGTGGTGGTGATGATGATGATGATGATGATGAGGAGGAGGAGGAGGAGGAGGAGGAGGAGGAGGGGGGGGAGGGGGAGCGGGATGGGGAGCGGGATGGGGATGAGGATGGGGATGGGGATGGGGATGGGGATGGGGATGATGATGATGATGATGATGATGATGATGATGATGATGATGATGATGATGATGATGTTGATAATGGTGATGATGATGATGATGATGATGATGATGATGATGATGATGGTGATGGTGATCGTGATCGTGATGGTGCTGGTGATGGTGGTGGTGGTGGTGGTGACGTTGATGCTGATGACGATGACGATGACGATGAAGATGACGATGCTGATGATGGTGGTGATGATGGTGGTGACGATGATGCTGATGCTGATGCTGAGGAGTATGAGGATGAGGATGAGAAGGAAAAGGAGGAGGATGGTGGTGATGATGATGATGGTGATGGTGATGGTGATGATGATGATGATGATGATGATGATGATGATGATGATGATGATGCTGATGATGATGATGATGATGATGATGATGATGATGGTTATGATGATGATGATGATGATGATGATGATGATGATGATGATGATGATGATGATGATGATGATGATGATGATGATGATGATGGTTATGATGATGGCGGTGGTAGTGGTGACGATGATGGTGGTGATGATGATGATGAGTAGGAGCAAGACGGGAGGACGAGGACGAGCACGGAGGCGAGGAGAACGAGGCAGCTGACTCCGCCAGCTCTGATCCATCGGTCAGGGCCTTGATATGGAGGGCCTCTCTTTGGAAAACGGGTTGGTTCCATTGGGCCAAGCCTGATTCCTAAACAGTCGCAGCCAGAACTCGAACTCCCGGAGAATTTTGCCGTTCGATCGTCAGCAGCGTTGTCTTCTTCGCCCGAGTGCTCTGTCACAGCCGCTGCACATCTCACGGAGACGGTGCGTCGATAATTCCAGTGGACCCCTCTCTTGTGAGAAACTGTCCAGGCAAATCCTCTGCAGAGGCTTATCAGACAGTAGCATACCACAGGTGGTTCTGAGAAGCAGGCGGGGTCACCATCGTCCTCGGCTTCATCGGCATCGTCATCGTCGCTAGCCGTAGCCGCTGGCTCGATTCTGGGCGAAACTTGTCTTGGGCCCGCGCGACGTGGCACGACGCACGGACTGGTACCTGATGTCACGGTCCGGGCATCTACGGCCCATGGGCTTCTTGCCCCTTGGCGCCATCCACCGACAACTCGTCGACGCGGTTTGGCGCCTCACTGGTTGCTGGGAGGACCGCTGCTGGAGGCAATGTGACACCCCCAATATGTTTATTCAACTGCGGCCGCTCTGGAATCGCAGCTTTCAGGAACAGGGCGGGGGAAGCGTCCTTGCTCAGGCCCCCCCGCACGGGGCCCGCGCTATGCTGGGTAAGTGCTGTCCTCTTCGCTGCCCAAGACGGCCCCGCTTGGGGCCTGCAGCGAGGCTCCAATTGTCCACCTCAGATCTACGCTTACTTTCGCCCGCGGCACGCCAGTGAGGCCCAACCAGTGGCATCATCGAGCACGGCCAGCGGCAAGCTAGTAGTCCACCGTTTGTGGAAGCGCGCGAAGGCAGGTGACTGCGAAAGCAGGCGGAGCGGATCCCCACACACACGCGCACGCTCCATGCCCGCGCGTCCCTTCCCAGCACCTCCTCGGACATCGCCCTCTCCTGCCTCGTCTGTTCCCTGTCTTCCTGTCCCGGCCGCCCAGGGTGAGGCCGGGCGGCGAGCCGAGGCAGCGGCGGGCCCGAGCCTGCCCGGCCCCCGCGACGACGGATCACATGGTGCGGGTCTGCGGGCCCCAGGCAGCCGAAGCAACGTAGGCGGTGGAGGAGGAGGAGGAGGAGGAGGAGGAGGAGGAGGAGGAGGAGGACCAAGAGGAGGAGGAGGAGGAGGAGGAGGAGGAGGAGGAGGAGGAGGAGGAGGAGGAGGAGGAGGAGGAGGAGGAGGAGGAGGAGGAGGAGGAGGAGGAGGAGGAGGAGGAGGAGGAGGAGGGAGGAGGGAGGAGAGGAGGAGGAGGGAGGTGCTGGTCTGCGGGCCCCAGGCAGCCGCAGCAATGTCGCAGGCCTAGAGGTTGACACCAACACCAAGATCGGCGGTGTGCCTCCACCGAGCGAAGACGATCCAGATCTCGGTGATGGTGGTATGATATTCTGGCTTCCATGGTGACCGAACTATGACTACCCACACCGAACTCCAGGATCATCGTCCCCACGTGGAGGCAACCTCCTGTGCTGGTGTGGGTGCCAATTCCCAGGCCTCCAACAACAGGAGTCGTGCACGCATGCGCGGGCGACCAGAGCCGAAGGGAGGCGGCCAGAAGGCCGGCCGAGGCAGGCGGAAGCGGGGCGGAAATGCAGCGAGGGCGGGGCGGCAGCCGGAGCAAGTCGGAGGCGGGCGGGCGCCAGGGAGGGGGGCCAGCGGGAGGCGCGGCTGCCCAGGGGAAATCCCCAGCGGGCGGCGGCGGCGGCGGCGGCGGCGGCGGGGCACTCCAAGGGCCCGGGGGGGCAGGCGGAGCAAAGAAGGCCGCCCGGAGGGAGCCCCGGGGCAGCTTGGGGTGGGCGGCAGCGCCGGGGACCGGCATCGAGGGCCCCGAAGCGGTGCCGTGGCGCCACACCGTGTGGTGGGTCCGGGGTCGGCCACGCGCCGCGGGGTGCAGGGGGAAGGGGGGAAGGTCCTGATGCTCAGAAGCAGCTCAGGGGGGTGCATTACTTTTGTTCTGCCGGGAGGGACCGCTCCCATTATCCCACGGTCGCCGAGGTCATCCCTCGTGGCGCTGTACGACCAGCGCTTCCGGTTCAACCCCCAGCGTCCTTCTAAGAAGCCTTTGCCCCCGCCGTCTCCTCCCCTGGGCGCGCCGCCAAGAGCCAGCAGGGATTCGGAGTGGCCGCATGGTTTGGGGGACTCGGGCCGTTCTCCGAGGACGTTTCGGGCGGCTGGGGCCTCCCGGGTCCCTGAAAGCCGTGCGGCGGCGGGTCGTGCGGAGAGGCCTCTCGGGCGCCCCTGGCTGGGGCCATCGATGGGCCAGGTGGCCCGGAGGCGATTTCCGGAAGTGGCAGCCGGGCATCAGGGCCAGGGGACACTCGTGGGCAGGGAAGCCCGAGGGAAACTCCCGGCTCTTCCCAGATGAGCAGTAGCGACTCTCAGTCACCACCCACCAACCCACCCCAACCCAACCCGAAGGCCCCGATTTGCCTTCCATTTCCAGTGGGGGGAGTCTGGAACCATTGAAAAAAAACACATATGGAACCCGGACCCCCCCCAACCCGAAATTCGCGTCTTCGGGTTGGGTTGGGGTGGTCTGGTAGGTAGTCACTCAGGTTAGGTACCTGGAATGATCAATTGATTAGTCGATCGGCTTTAGGCTTACCGAGTGTCGCGATGGCTCTTCAGTAATGTTACGCTTGCTTCTTGTTCAATGACCGATTGGTTGTTTGAAATCGGTGGGCTGCTTGATTGGTCGAAGTATTTTTTGTGGTCGACGGGTTGGCTAGCACTGATGGACCGACTGGCTGTTTCAGTTAGTTGATCGACGATACGAGGTGATGTACTGACCGGCTGGCCGATCTGTCTGCGCGTCTGGCGATGCCGTGGCGTGAGCAAGGCAGCACACAAATAAGGCTGGGTCCTAGGA